GCTGCCACCACCGTGCTTCATCATGACGCTGCCACCACCGTGCTTCACATCATGATGCTGCCACCAACGTGCTTCATCATGACGCTGCCACCACCGTGCTTCACGTCATGATGCTGCCACCACCGTGCTTCACGTCATGATGCTGCAACCACCGTGCTTCACGTCGTGATGCTGCCATCTGACTTCAGAGGAGTCGTAGGTGTCTCGGTGGCCTCCCTCGCTAGTCTCCTTCAAGTAACTCCTTCAGAGGAGTCATAGGTGTTCAGGGGCCTGTACTATGAAGCGAGATCAACATACCCAGGATATGTTTCAGAGGTCCGGATTGACTAAACCTAACAATCACACTCAGGATAACCGGTCCTACGACGGTGGTTATCAACTTAGTAAGTCAACCCAGGTTTGTCTGATTAGAGTGTATTTATATTTGCACATAAAATGGGCGGTGTTATCAGCATCTGACCAATCACGACTATGGACAAGTCTGAGCGGTTCACTTTACTGCTGAGGAGCAGAATATAATCTTTACAAGATATGAAGAATAATATAAAAACATCATAGGAGGAGAAAGCAGCAGCGTTGCCTCGATAATCCTAAATCCTGCTTCGTAGTCCAGGCCCCTGGTGACCTCCCTCACTCGTCTCCTTCTTGTAACTCCTTCAGAGGAGTCGTAGGTGTCTCGGTGGCCTCTAATCAGATCTACTCATGTTCCATCGTCCTTCCATGTCTTCATGATGGATTTAACTGGACTTTAAGAGATATTCAGTAACTTGGAAATGTTCTTGTATCATTCCCTGACTGATGCTTCTCAACAACCTTTTCCCAGAGTTCTTGGAGGGTTCTTCAGTCTTCATGGTGTGGTTCTATCCAGGAGTTCTGATCCACCAGTGACTGGACCTTCCAGATACACCAGTCTTTACAATCACTGAGACTCATTCACTGACCTCAGATGGTGCATTTACTGACTGTGGGACTTCTGGCACTAACTGACTGCACTTGTGTTCAGTTATTCTTCGTGACTCTCTGACTTTCTCTAGTTTTCTGTCGTTTTTTTAAAGGTGTGTCCTTTTCATAATGTCTCATTGCACAGCCTTGAGAAACAGCCACCTTGCATTTCACTGCATGAACTGTGTGAGCGCGTGACTAATAAAAACGTTCTTTTACATTTTATATTTTTTATTAATTTACTTTGTAAAAATCTCTTTTAACTTTGGCATGAAAGAGTCTCTGTTTTTGGTCAGTTCTTATCAAAAAAAGCCAAATTAATTTGACCCTAATTCAATGTTGACAAGCCTTTAAAAAAAAAAAAAGAAAGGCTTCAGTTTGTGAAGCTTCTGCTGCAGAGATTTAAATAATCAAACTCCAAAGACATGAAGCTGAATCCCTGCTGCAGCCTCCGTAGGTCAGAGCT